TTCTATTTTTAGCTGAAGCAGTTCAAGATTTATGGACTTGATGCATCAGTTTGTATTGTTGTTTCTTGTTTTAGCAGTACTATATGTAGCAATTTTTATTGGAGTTTTGGTTTTAGGGATTTTTTGCAGCAATTTGATCTGTTATTGCTGTAGCAGTTTGATAGCTATGTATCCCACACAATTTCATAATGAAACATTCGTGGCTTTCCTTCTGTGGATGTATGTCATTGACTGAACCACATAATTCTTTCGTGTAATTGAACTTCTATTTTGATTTGTTAATTACAACACTGGAGATTCTCTTAGCATTATACTTTTATTTCTTATAGTTCCAATATGTCTAAAGAATGGGGTCCATCCGCTATGTGGGATAAAGAAGCGACAAATATTTTATGCGATCTATGTACTAAAGAAATAGAATTAGAAAATAGGCCAACAACGTACTTCAACAAGGAAGGTTGGCAGAATATAGCTAAAAGGTTTAAAGAACTGACTAGAAGGGATTATGATAGGCTTAAGTTTAAAAATAAATGGGATCAACTAAAAAAAGGAATGGAGGATTTGGAAAGAGCTAAAACGTGGATCAACTGGGTTAGGCTGAAATCCAATTAAATGAACAATTGATGCTCCAGAAGAGTGGTGGGCAGAGAAATTAGAGGTATGAATTACATTCTCAATTTGTGTATATCAAAAATTGTTTTAATTACCTGAGTGTCCTCAATTTAATGTTATAGGCACTACCGACAGCGAAAAAATATAAGCAGAGCGGAATTGAGTTAGATTTTGAAGAGCAACTTGACAATATGTTCAGGGGGGTTGTGACAACGGGAAAACAAGCATTCAGCCCTAGTGAGACGGGGTTTGTAGGAGTACCAGATGATTTTCCACCAGAGCCGATGGCAGTTGATGAAGAAATACATAGTGTTAACCAGAGGTAGATGAGGGAGTCAAGCTCGCAGATGAAGAGGCCCAGGCAAGGAAGAAGGAAGAAAGAAAGTGACACTTTTGTCAAAACTTCATTTGACCGAATCATAGATGCTTTTGGAGATCCACCGCCTACTCCACTCCCTGACAACACTATCTTTGATTGTCTTTGAACTTTGGCTACTATCCTTGAAGTAGTAGCGGATAAGCACTGTCATGCAATATGTATGAGAAAACTAGAGGATGCAACACATCTGCATATATTCATGGCGATGGAACCAGAGTTGCGAGTCAAATATTTACTTATTCTTCTGGATGATTGAGTTTGTATGTTTTCTTTTGTTGTATTATATACTCTTTGAAGTTATGTACTTGGCTGTTATTTGAAGTAATGTTTTTTTTTTTTTAAATGTACTTCTACTTGATTCATGAATGCCTATTAGTAGAGATTTATACATTTATATTGTAACTGACTGAATGTTCTCATTATTTATTTCTCGCTCACTCAATTGATTAATAGTTGATGAACTAACCTACACCTTTCTGAATGACTGTACCAATATTTATGGATCCCCTGCACAAGTTATCCCTGAATCACGGACTCCAAGGTTCTTCGAGAACGACAAGAAGGGAGGTATTGTCTATAACGCTATATATACTGTCACAGAATGAATCAATTAGGGATACTATGAAGAGATTTCAACATTCATCAGAGACAATAAGTCATTATTTCTCTAAAGGCATACAGACACTTGTTAGCGTAGCCGCTAAAATCATCAGGCCGGAGGATCCATCATTTGCTAATAATCCTGGACAAATCGCAACTGATCTCCGTTACATGCCTTACTTCAAGGTAACTATTTTTTTCTTTACATACATATCAAAATATAAATATTTTCTAACCCAGTAAAACATAACAACATAGGTGTAATTGACGGTACTCACGTTGATGTTCGAATACCCAACCAGGATAAGATGGCTTACATTGGTCGAAGTGGTTCAACGACACAAAATGTCATGGAAGTATGTGACTTTAACATGTGTTTCACATATATTATGGCGGGCTGGGAAGGGAGTGCACGTTATAGTCAAATTTTCTCCTATGCTACTAGGAATAGATCTCAGGGTTTTCCTCATCTAGTTATAGGTATTTATTGCAAATAACAATATCTTCCATAACTAGAAAACACTATTTGGTTGATGTTGGATACCCTATGCAGAGGGGCTATCTGAAGCCATATCCAGACACTAGGTATCATATTCCTGATTTTGAACGAGCAAGCGGCACTATTCGTGGTAGGAAATAAATGTTTAACAAATGTCACTCCTCTGTACGTGGGGTAATTGAAAGAACGTTTGGGGTTTGGAAGAAGAAATGGGTCACCCTACGTGATATGTCATCATATCCATTTGAGAAGCAGATGCATATTGTGGTGGCAACAATGACACTTCATAACTTCATTAGACGACACCCTTCACGTTCAAATACGAACTTTAGTATGACTAATAACGATGACTGAATGTCTATGAAGAACCATCAGAAATTATGATCGGACCTTCAGACCTTCAGTTCGGACCTTCAGTTCCTGAGGATGAGAATGACTTTAATGAATTTGAAGTTCATGACGTGGAGGGTGTGACTGAGATGGTTGTCCTGAGGGAATCTATAGTAGATGCTCTATATGACAGCTAATCCAGCAAGTTTTTCTTTTCTTCGCACATTATAGATTAATTTTTATGTGTTTTTCTTTATAACATCTGACATTTGATTTTTTTTATTTTTATTTCGTTGTTATACCAACATGACTTCTAGGATTTCAGTGACAGACAAAGTTATTTTGTTTTATTGGGGACAATCAGCTCCGTTGCTCACGTCGCGCCGGCCTCATAGCTTTAGGAGACAGTTCTATGGTTGTCGCAAGGGTGTTTCAGCTCGTTGCGGTTTCTTCTGATGGGCCGACAATCCCACATGTTACACTGCTAGCAGTGATGTAAATCTGATGTTTTTTCAGGTTGATAGTGCAGCTGAGGACAGACGTAGTCAAAGTTTGAAATTGAATATTTTAATATTTCTCATTGTAGTTGTACTTGTCATTATCTTTTTTTTATTTTTTCTGGTACTCACAAGAGTGTGAGAATTGTATGTCATCTTTTGGAACTAATATGTGATGATTTTATGCTTCTGCACTATGTATGCTTCTGTACTAACAATAAGCTATTCTGAATAAGTTGCCCCAAATAGTTTTACCAGACAGGGGCAGAAATGTCATTTATACAACCATAACTACAAATAAGCTTTTCTGAATAAGCTACCCCAAACAACAAGTCAGTTTTTTCTGATAATCTGCAGATTATCATATTATCAGAATAATATGTTTATCAGCAGATTATAAATAACAGCCGCCCCAAACAGGCCCTTAATCGCCTGAGAATGGTGTGCAAGTCAAACACAAGCTTATGCTACAAGTAACTTTGTCTCGCAAAGAATGCACATGATCTAAAGCTTTACAAAAATATGATTTTCAAATGTCAAATTTAAAATTATGTAATAACACACACTCTTTAGTGGTTTCCTTACCTATAAGGCAATGTTATATGCCCAAAATTTTATAGAGTTTGATTGTCATCCTCCCTCTAGGGATTACAGTTGACAAGATTGAGCTCTCACTGAGCCAATCTTATCGTCCTCACAAGAACTAAAGTTGACATTAGTAATATTTTAAATGATGTTTAAGCAATTATTTTGCGATTATAGTTATTTTGAGGGCAAATTTCAATCAGAGGGGTTCATTTATAAAATTAAGATTTTAAATTATAAAATTAAAAAAAATGTTTAGTGAAAAATTAATCACTTAAAAGTTAAAAGTAAAATTTATCCATACTCCACAGCGGTATGTCGAAGTAGACAAATTTAATGTTGACCCGAGCTCACAAAGAGCCAATGTCATCCTAAATATACTATAAAATTCAAAATCAAAATAATTTTATGCCAACAAGGATATAGCCCGAGTCCTCTGTCTGTGCGATTTTGTTGTCAAATAACACCATAAGGAAGCGATTACGATCAGATTCCTCTGATCGCATGGTTTGTTACCAAATTACATCATTATATTATGATCATAGTTGTTGCTTGTATGTTCGTCAATGACATTCTCCCGTGTAGAATATTGAATCATATGCTATAATTGATAAGGTTGAGATCTCTATAAGCTAAAGTTGACTTAGATTAATGCTCTTTGACAAACATCATCCCGGGTCTATCGGGTCCCCTTATACGAAGCAACTCATGGTTATTTACTAAGATCCTTATGCCAGATTAGGTCAACTACCTCTACTGACTAAGTAGACAAGTGACCATACAAAACGATGAGATCTTGATCGGGTTTGTCATATTTTTCTCTACCATCAACTTTAAGCTCACGATGATAATTGTTATAATTTTAAATTTTAAAATTTGTTGTCATAATATGCCAAGTCTTAATAATTAAACTCTAATAACTAGTCTTAATCGTAAATCCTCTCCAGTTATCGGGAGAGTTAATTAACCATAGGGGTTGTTCTTATGGAAAATCTCAGACCCCAAATCTTAAACTCAATGGCAAAATGAGAGTGGAACTTTAAATAGTGTATTATCTACTATCTTATCTACCGTTTAAAAATTTAACCTGGAACTTAACATGTTAAGCTCTTGACAAGAGTCTGATGTGTATATCGAATTTTCGAAGCCCACAGAGACTAAACTCACTTCCACTAGAGAATTTAGTGAGAATGAGTTTGAGAAAAGTGCTCGAAGATCAATGGGATAATCCTATTGAGATGATCATTCATATTGTACAATTGTTTGGAGGTCACATAGTCATCGAGTCACTCATTGTGCAAGATCCTTTGCCTATTATTTGGTCGCTTAATTTTAGGGGTATTTACATGTATACCTCCAATTCTTATACATATTAATACCAAAATTTTTCTTTTTACATTCATACCATCCAAATCTTTCATATCACATAAAAAATACCACTCTTTAATTTTTTAGAATGTGAAATACACCTTTTGATGTATAGTTAAGGTGGCAGAAATGTAAAAACCTAAGTTCAGGCGTTAGATATGTAAATACATAAGAAATGGGTGGTATGGATGTAAATTATTCGTCTATCAAGCATATTAACAATCACTGTGCTTGATTCCATACGTTCTGCTTGCGTCCCATTGATAAATCATATGCGTGGGGAAAATTACATAACATTACAAATCTGTCATAAGACTAGAAAGTGAAAAAAAAAAAATGGCAAAGCTAAGCAGGCTTATAACATCATCATAAAATAGCTTAAAAAGTTGGCCTGTTCTACTTTCTCCTTCAATCATACGCATTGCTGCAGATGCTTTTATGCACACTGTCATTAAGAATCTGAAGCACGCTGTGGTTTGACAGACCAACATATCTGGGTGTTTTGAATTGGTTCATCGCTGCACCGAGAGCTAGGTGATGTTCAAGAATCTTATGGAAGGTACCCCGATTCACAATGCGGAGCTCGAGAGGGCCGATTGCTCGGATTTTCCTTGAACCGACATAGCCCGCATCGACGAAGGCACGGTCCAAGCAATTGCAGCAGTTATTGAGAACTTCATCCTTAACATCACCGCTGAGCTCCCAGAAGATTACATAGTGGCCGGGATTGGTTGACATATCAACATGGCTGGTGAAGTCCAGGACCTCAACCTTCTCAGCAGCCAAGAGCTTGCTCGCTTCTTCGACAGCCAACTGAAGGTCTTTCTCAGTGTTCTTATCAATGTTGACGGTTAGAATGAGGTTTCTTCTATGAACAAACTGGAGTTTTGGTGCTGAGTTGTGAAAGCCAGCTGTTTTAACAACATCACCCAGTCTGTACCGGTACAAACCTGAAATAATTTTAAGGAAGAAAGCATTTATTTCACTGGCAATGTAACAAATAGATCATTCCTGATTCCAAATCTCAAGGAAAGATAAACATTTAACAAACAATTTTTTTTTTTACTAAGACCACATGCAGTTTCATGGTGGAAACTGGAAAACTCACTGAACCTAATTAATCCTTAGAATTTAGCATCTTAAAAAGTTAGGTGAAAAAGTCTATTTTTTGATTAAGTATAGTGCCAACCAAACCAAACCACTGACGAAGTCAAATAAGCAATCTTTACAACCCAATAGATGCCCAAAAGTCAATCTACTGCTAAATTGTATAGGAATTCTATTCATAGTTAGAGAATTTGCAAAAATATATAAATAATCTGAAAGGGATTAGTTGGTCTTCATAATAGTAACATGCACAATATTTGTTTAAAAATCACTGAATTGGTTGGATGAGAAATATTTAACTGTTCACTGACCCCAGTTTAAAGTTTGATGGGGATCAGATGAAATGGAAAATTAGTTTAATAATAAGACCTTAGGCATTTGATTTTTATTTGCATGGTGATTGCATTATTAGCAAGTTAGCTCAAATTGATGCGAAATATAAAAGAATAAAATGATAAAGTCTTTTAGCTACAAGTAAAAAAACTCTACCAGCATGGGTAGATCCGACTCATTTCAATATCACAGTGCTCTACGCCAAGATAAAAATGTAGAGCATTCTAAAAAGGGACACAAAAAATATTTGGTACCTGCAAAAGTAGTCATAATTATTTCATACTCTTCACCAACATTAACTTTAGTCAATCCGATCGGCTCGGGCTCTTTACGAACAACCATTGAACCATAATTATCTACTTCCTGCTCATGAGCTCTTTCCTTAAGAGGTATAAATTCAAAATATCCAATGTTAGGAAGAACAGTAAAGGTAGCTGACTCTGGGGGTTCTCCTGGATCAATATTAGCACCAATCCACCCTTCTGAAGACCCATAATCAGCACTCATCAGTGGCAAGCTCGCAGCATAGTGCCTTAGTTTATTCAAATAAGGCTCCATTGATCCTGTCATGATTCCATATACATATTTGGCATTTGGCCAAAGCTCCGGTATTAGACCATACCAGTTACTCAAGTTCGAACATTTATTGTAAATGGTATTTGCCAATTGAGGATTTGGGCGTAGAAACTTAGAAAATGCACTGCGAATTGAAGGAATTGTGATTCTACTTGATAGAACTCCCTCTCTTATATCACAGCAAAGCTCTTCCCATACTTGTTCAAAAGTTCGAAATGCATGAACAATACTGTGGGCGAATGTGGAGAACACAAATTGAACTTCATCAGAGTATATCAAACCACATAAAAGGTGGCAGTACAATGACTGATTGTAGTCAAGGCTGAAGATAACTTCATCGGGACTGCAGCACTGTGATTGAATGTCTTTCATGGTGTTCTTAAATTGCTGGCTAAGGTATACATTTGTGGTGGCCGTCGTAGCTAACAGGCCACCTTTTGTTTTGAACTGCTTGCTGCTGTAAATAAATTGTAAAGATTTTCCATTCCCAATAGGATGTGCTCTACAAAGTTTGAATGGGAAAATTCATATTAAAAAAAAAACATCAGCACAAACAAGAGCTATGAAATTTTCATCTAAAAAAGGAGAATCTTAACTTGAAAGGTAGGATGGTAAATTGGAGACATTTCTAGAGCACCAATGCTAGTATAATATATACTATATCTTATTCAAAACATTACTAAGAGCAATCAACAGGATGATAAAAGTCCATAAATTTGAAGTTAAAGATTATTTATGAGCAGAATAAGTGATTATGCGGCAAACATGACCAAAATAAAGTGGTTACAAACAAACACAACCTTATCTGGAGTTCATGTTAAGATCACACAAAGTTTATAAAGAGGAATGAATTTTTTCAAAGATTTTAAATGTTTTGCTGTTACCCAATGAGTGCAAGTAGGGGAATTAATAGGTCTTAAGAGATTGAAGAACCAACCTATTCCTAAAAGCAAAAGAAGTCCTATATATCTGCATTGTAGACTGCTCTAATTCATCATTGAATGGAACAAATTTTGGTTTCCCTTGCGTTGTACCAGAGCTGTAAAAATGGAAAAACACAAGCTTTCAAAATTTTAAGATCTGAAACAAATAAGCGCATGAAAGAACAAAGTAGCGAAGCAAACCTCAAAGAAATGGATTTTATTGGTCTCCCAGTGAGGATTGGCGAGGCATCTTCTTCATCTGCAATTCTCTGTATGTAAGGCTCCAGATCCTTGTGAGTCACCAAAGGAACACATGCCTTGAAGCAATCAGGATCAGTTTTTCCTCCAAGCCCCAAATTCTGTAAGTATTCCGCTTTACCGTTCTCTTCGAGAATCCTCTGAAGGGTTTCTCTTTGAACCCTTTCAGCATCCTTTGTTAATGCCTCAAACTCCTCAATCACGCGGTCGCCATTGAATCCCTTCACCTTCTCAAGCATCTCTGAAGCTCTCTGCCTGGCGCCTTGAGATACTCGACTTCCTAGTTCAAAGTTACTGATAAAAAGAAAAAAGAGAAAACAAATAGCTTTCCTTAGAAAATGAGAACTACATAAGCAAGCTTTTTCTTTGTTTCAAGTTTGTAGAAATTGGCTTCTAGCTGAACGAAGAACACAACTCAAATTAGGAACCTTGTCCAGAGCAGAGATTCCAGATAGAGTTCCAAAAGCAATAGGTTACCAAACAAGACGAAAAAAGGCCAGCCGATCCACTAATCCAAGGCGTAAAGAAATAAAATATAGTAATTACATGGAAAAGCTGTCCCTCACGAAAAACCCAGAACCGTTGGCAACAAACCAATCCATTGCAAAACACCAACCTTCATCCAGATAGGTACAGGAAGCTTAAGAAATTAAAAAGAAAGCACGAACAAAAGACAAATAAACCCGGAATCAAGACGATTCCGATGGACGAAGACATATACTATGTTATTAATTGAAAAAAACTCACACAGTTAAGCAAATGAATCAAGAAACCCCCTCTGCTGAAAAGCAACTGAACCGAGGGTACAACAAATTACGAAGAGAAGGGAAAAGACCAGAGTCTGCACTTGCCGACAGGCGGCGAGGAAGCGAAGGCTCCTACCAGAGCAAGTGGGAGCAGCTACTCTGCCTAGTTGACAACTTGCGCGTCAATTCGAGGAAGGAGAAGCGAATACGAATTGGACTTGAGATATATTTCAGAATCAAGAGGATGAATCTCTCGGGGTTTGCCACAAATTTCAGCTTCTGATTTGGGTTGACTGATGGTGGCTCTAGGGGTGACTCGCGTTCGAGCTCTCAAAAAGTTTGTTCGTGTTCGGCTCGTTTGCTTACCGAGCCGAATACAAACTGTTTACGAACAAAGAGTTCTTTTAACAATCTTAATGATGTAGTCATAAGATAATAAGAGTTTGAGCGAGATTTAAAAAATTATTATTTATATTAAAACAGCATTTGAATCTAATTTAATAATTTTTATTCTATTTTCTTAATCAATATTTTAATTGATTATAAATCTTATTAGCCTTGTAGTAAATTAGATTTTCTTAAAATACTACTTAATATATAAACTTGATGAGTAGTATTTCGAGCCAAAAAGAGCCGAACACGAATGAACACATCTTAGTTCGTGTTAGCCTCGTTCGTTAATTTATCGAATGAAATTAACGAGGCGAACACGAGCTTCTTAACTAGTCAAACACGAGCTGTTCGCGAACAATTAGCGGTTTTGACAGCCCTAGGTGGCTCCTCTTATTTGCTTCTGCGAGTGTGGCGTTTATATTAAAAGCTGGACAACGCCGCTCCGTTAAATTTGGACTCTTAATTTAGCTTTGATTAATAAGATACGTCATAGTTTTAAAGTGGTTCAAGATAAATAGATATATATATATATGTATAACTTGAGAGAATTTTTGGAATAACATGATTTAAGAAAATAAATTTATAAAATAATATTGGATGAATAATCAAAATAACATATTACTTGATATTAAGAGAATTGGAATAAAAAGAAAACAATAAGTTGAATATAGAGTTGATTTCACATGAGGCTCATATCCCATTAAAAAATTTTATCATTTCGCATGAATCTCAGAAAAACAAAAAAAAAATAATGAGAAACATTCAAACTTAAATTACGAATCATTCAGAATTACGATTTCTTCACCTACAGTCAAATTGAACAATTTAACGAAATGAATACATTGACACTAAAATTGGTCTAATCCTAGTCAAATCATGCTCAAATCAAATCATTAAACCATTTTTCTATCTTTGGGGGGCTAACAGGAAGGTGAAATGAATTCCAAATCTTAAAAAGCTTGTGGTCAAATCGATTGTCTTGATAAGACAAATCCAACTAGCCCAAGCTCAATTAATTCTAACATCATAAGACACTTCTATGTGCACAAAACGTTATTTGATAAATAGAGACTCTCTGATTCGTCTGATGAAGTGATTTGAATTTCTTCCTTATTTGTAGAAAGGTCACTCCCAAACTTGCTAAATAGAGTCATACCTCATTTATGAAGGGGGCGGGGAGCTAGAGGGGGACTGAGAGAACAAGGTATTAAATTCAAGTAATGTTCTCAACCGAAGAGCAAGCAAACATTTCCTGCTCCCACAACCTCCGACCACCATTGAGCACCACTAATCGACGCCCGTTGACCACCACCTACCACCCTGTGCTCACTAATGTCGATGAATCCTATGGTGTACAATGCACAAAAGATGATGCAACAACGCATACAGAATATGGTGAGTTGATGCACTCCAAAGATGGTGCACGTCGAAGATGGTGAGACAATGCACTCTAATGACGGTATAACGACACACCCTAAATAAAGTGTAATGACGCACCCAAAAAATAGTGTAACGATGTACTTTGAATACGATGTAGCAATGCACCCCAAAGATGGCTTAATAATGCATCACAAAGTCGATACAACCCCTATGACATTGTAGCAACTCACGAGTACTGAGTAAGCTCACAACCACCACACTCAATATATGGTGACCTCCAAACTTTTAATGTTATGTCGTCACAACTCCCCACTACGACCAATATGACCAACTACGTCATACGTAGCTCAGAACTAGCATAGCTTCCAACTTCGCTTTTGTGGCCTGCTAACTTTATTGAAACTCCCAAATTCAGCCTCTTTGCCCTACATATATTGTTGAAGCTCACCACTACGACCTATATGACTAACTATGACTTATGAGGTATAAAGCTCTCTCTAAGGCCTATGAATGTTATTACAACTCTCAACCTGGCCTCTGTGGGCTATAGATGGTATGACAACTCTGAACTCCAGTTTTTGTGGCCCATGGACATTATGACAATTTCAACCATTAAGGTCTCTGGGTGTCATTCAAGCATGGGAGACCTCCATCTTTCCCATACGGTGAGTCAATGACCCAAGAGACATCCTACACTCATCGATCACCTCCCTATGTGTCGCAAGAGGATAACCTGGTGGTTAACTATGTTCTCCTCACTTTTAATAGGTGTTCGGGTTTCTCTAACTGATCCCAGAGTCAGGCCCTGAACAACATCCCCCAATGGTGAGCTGACAATCTGTATCACCTCATCTTCATCAAAATACACTATCAATAATAATGAATAAATTTTTTTTTCTAATCATAAAGATTGAGTCTCCTCCTACAAAGAAGTTGATCCACATTAGACCACCGAAGCGACAAACTGCTCTCACTAGGCAATGGTAGAGCGCCGCAGCCCTCCACCCCTCAGTCGATGACAGAGCAATAACATATGTGCCCTAGGTAATGGGGCTCTAGTAGCTTCCTGCACAGAAAGATCGACCAGCTAGTCACGAATTACAACAGAAGGCTTGGTCCACTGGCCTGTAGTCGGCCCACACAACGTACGTCCATCTTCCGCCCAATCCTTTCCTCGTTAAGGATTTTAAAGGGAGTCAGAAAACCGCACTTCATTTATCGGTTCAACTACCTTCTATTTCTTGGAAGCCACAGTCTTTTTCTACACTTTTCCCTTTGGCCTCTTCTCACCCTCGAACCACTTCTTTCCTTCAGGTCTTCTCTTCTTATTGTTTCTTTTTTGCCTTAAATTGAAATTGTGACACGGATAGTCCAAAAGCGACACTCATCATTTTAGCATTAGAGACCTCATTCGAAGGTTTCAAGGTGTTCTCCATGAAAGTGTTTGAAAATCAACAACTCAAACACACATACATAAAGCAAATGTGAAGTAACAAAGGTGTTAACCGCGTCCTATTTTTAGGAACTATAGGTACAAAAATCTTGGGAGTATAATTATTAAAGCTCTGTTACAAATAAATTATACCTAGTTTTACATTTAATTCTCTTTTTCTTGTTGTAGTTATTACTTTTAAGAAGTAAGAAAATTAAGGAACTAAAATATGTACAATAAAATTTTGAGGATATCCAAAGAATAGGGAGAAAAAGTACAAATAAGAAGGGCCCACTAACGGAAGACTAAAAGAACCACAACAAAAGACTAAAGGGAAAATAGTCTGAAGACCAAATGATTCACTTGACTAGTTGTAGACCCCTTGAATCAGGGATAGCGGCGAAACGAATGCAGACCAACCAATTCAAGGACCAAGGCAAATAAAGGTTAGCAAATGCATCGACCCACTGCTCACCATAAACTAACTCAAGGGAAGATTTTAGCATTTCTAGCCTTCTCAAGGAAGTTCTTTAGATTCCTCATCAAGGTCTCAAGAAGTGAACTACCTACCAAATTATGGTGATTCACCTCTGCCCGATAGCAAAGTCTTACTCTGCCAACAGATGCTCCTCATCTAAGGATCAATAGTTGACAACCAAACTAGAATTGTTGACTGTTCAAGCCAAACCGATCGATTGAGTCAATTCTTGCCGACCGAAAGACCACCAAAGGTTGACCAACAACCCCGATTCAACACAGTCAGACAAATATGTCTCGTCGAACCAAGACACACCACTTTCAACTGATCAAGTAGTATGGTAGCTGATATGTATGCCTATACTCGTAAAATCCCTAAAATATCATGTAACGCTCTCGTTAAAGCAGAGGCAAAATATGTAATTTCACATATTGTACCCCCTCCCCTATAAATAGGAGACTCATTTTATGAGAAAGGGCTAACCAACTATTCGAATATTGTTCATTTTTGTGCATTTATTTCTCTCTCTCTCTCTCTCTCTCTCTCGTCTAACGCTCTACTTGGGTATGATTCATGGACAAATCAAATTCATCACAAGAGTACTAAAGGCAGCCAAGAAGATTCCTTGGATCTTAAAAGGTTTTTTAGTTTAGTTCTTCGTTTTTGCAGGCTTAAATGTGTTTAGCTCAACTTCAATTAAAATGGGCTAAGAACAAACACGAGTTCATCTAAAACTAAAGACAAGAGTTTGATTTATTTTTTGGGCTTCGTCCAACCATAAATTTGTCTTTTAAGGAAGTCTACTTTGGGAACACTCAAGAGATAATCCTAGAGTTTGAATATATGACTTGACGTGAAGATGAATCAACCTCATTATAAATAAGGGAAACACCTCTATGAGGGATAACCTTATGAAAATGAAGCTCCATCAATGAAATTCAAACTACGGTTCTGAATACTACGAGCTCGTGGAAAGCAATGAGGGGCAATTCTACAACCAGAGATTTTTCATAACAAAACCCCAATGTGAATACTTTAAAAATTCCAACAATAACTTTTAATAAAAATATACAATGATAAACCATAAAATTTTAAATGGGGCGCAACTTGATTGTTTTTTTTTTTTTTTTGAAAAAAGAAAAAATTACAGTTATTCTTACAGTTATTCAAGCAAAAAATATACATGTAAATCTTTTTTTTTGTTGACGAGACTATAGTCATGTGTTGAGTAAAAGAGTTATTCACCACATTTAGGTTCAATGAACTCAGTTGACCAAGTTCTTCATCTAGAAGTTTTTTATCATTTTTCTTCTAATGTACCCTACAATAGTAAGAGAGATTAAAACATACAAAGTGTCTAATATTGATGTTATAGATGATTTTCTATATTGGTGCTCAATTCCTTAAAGGTAAAGTACAACATGGAAGATAAGTATACTCCTGATAAAATTTTACATCTTCCCTAATACATTTTTTCTTCTCTGAATTGTGCTGTCGTATATCCCTACTGACATTAGCTGTTCCATTGAATATAATACTTTTGCTAGAGTTTTTTTTTGGCAAAAATCTCCTATGTCTTTGTATTTAATTAGTAAACCGCTCTCCCATGCCCTCATT